TTCGTGGAGCTGTCTCCATACATCAGCCCCTTTGGCGACTTACTGCTGGATTGTTTACAGCGAATGACGACTTGATGCGTTTTCTTGTTTCAACTGATGTCGCTTCCTTATCAGATGAAGAGATATCAATACGACAACAGATAAGGAGGATGGCCAGTACATTGTACGAAATGCCATTAAGGTATTCCATCATGTGGAAGCTAATAAGAGCGATAAGACTCTCGATTCAGGGCTCTTGTGCTTTGTGCTCAAGCTTCAGCTCAGTTATGGCGTCGAAACGGTTTTTCACTAGTGAATCAAATTCATAACTACTACTCTCCGCTTTGTCGAGCTGAAATGTTTGATCGTGACTTACTGATGATGCAGGTTTGTTTTGCTTAAATTTGGCGATTTCTACGCATGCTAAAGGATATAGATTATATAAGCAATACAAATGAGGTTTACGAGCAATAATCAGACATGAAATATTTTTAGAAATTGTTTGAACATGGATAAGATTGGGAAGGCAGTGTTTGAGCTCCAAATTGGACTGAAATCCTGTATTGTGTAGTTATTTTACTAACCTGCTTGCTTAGGTGGGAGCTGCCATACGCCCTCCAACTGATTTCCTGCTGCATGTTATTTGTCGCTTCCGACTAATCCAATGGGCTGATCAGTCCGGTGATGGGGGATCCAAGCAAACACCGTTCGGAAAAATGGAGCCGGAAGAAACTGGGAAGATTATCGTGATTCTAGCTGAAGAAATGTTACATTTGCTCATCATGATTGTTGGTTAGTCTTTTTTTCAGATTTTTACAAAGCCGCATCCATGGATGATTTGCGCATAAGGGTCCCTCATTTTAAACGCATTCTTTGACTTAGAATCTTTGTTTAGATGGAGCGCAGTTTTTTAATTGCTAGTTTGATGTTACTATTTGTGATGAAGACGCTATTCATTACTCACATCGTCTATATATTCCTATTCAACATAATGTCTTCTTCTTGGCGTGTTCGCAAAATCTACATATTGCGTTATAGGTGAAAGGTACCATCCAGGTGTTGGAAAGTGCACGTATGCTGAGCAAGTGCAGCGAGAAGTTGTACATGTTTTATGCACTGGTCCGCAACCATTCAGTCATGTGAGTATACTTCCTTTCTGAAATCAGTTGAAATCTTACGTTGACATAAGCGGAAGAGAGCAGACTCTATATATATATCTCCAATTTCAAAATCGTGGACCTTGCTGAAGCTTCTCCTAGGAAGTTGTTTGGCTGGCTGATCGCGAATATCACACCCATCCACGCGATATGGTCCCAGTACGGGGTTGCGGTAGGTAGAGGGGCAGGGATCACCGTTTATTCAAAAAGATGCTTAAGGGAATATCTGGCGTTTAAATCACGAATTTCATATCCACTCCGCATGATATGGCCATACGTAGAAGATAGGTAGGTACAGGTAGCTACCGCCATTGACCTAAGCATTGGTTTGGCGAGATTACTTGACGTTCTAATCACCAACGGTGTATATGTAGTAGTTTATGGCGACAGGCAAGCTCCCTATCTATAGCAAGGTCAAGGACTATTCTTTAATCAAAGGCTTAGGCTCAAATGGATAAGTTTTCACTGAAAGTCCACTGCAGCTTCATCGTTAGACATGATGTCACGAAAGATCTCATTCGTAATCAGCTCAAATAAACGATTTTCCTTGTGAAATTTAGACGAATTCACGATGATGACTTCCCACCACAATTACGTTTATAGTATGACCATGCCTGAAATAATTATATTCACGATCAGCATACCAAATAACCTCAGCATGAAAATTTTCGGGGAGTTTTGTGATTTTACTCTCTTAACGTCTACCTACCATAATCCCACACATGACCTTATCATGGGAATGGATGGGTATTTGTGCTCAGGATGTCAAATAACTCCACTAGACAACTCCGTTGAGTAGGTAATCCTGACCTCTACTATCTAATTAAAAACTCTCCAATATGTTTGTATCGTGCGGAATCATATCATGACAGCGTTCTCAGATACCCATAGAGGATCGGCGAAGTTCAAGATTTGGAAATTTTGGGGCCTAGATTCCGGAGTAGTGGCTTGGGATTGTTATATGTTTTTTATCTATGAAGGAAAGGTGTAAATGTTCTAAGTCTTAAGTTGAACATTACTGTATAGTTGCCAACATGTCATTTTTCTTAAAATCATGTAGGGATTTCAATGCTTAGACGCATTAGAGCACTTATGAAAAGTTATATTCAACAGTGTCAAGACTTTTCACATCAGTTATAATTGATATTTCTTATATGTGCCATTACTATTGGTTTTTTTTTCTTGTTAAAAAAATCTTTTTTTTAAGATACAGAAACGCATGTCTCATGATCCTATGATTGAACGGGTTTCCTTACATGAAATAGTCAACAGCGTTGCCAACTTCAAGTAAGTTGTAAAATCTCAGTGCTAAAAAATACAATCTTGTTTGGTGTTAGCAAAGGAATAAGTATGTGTTTTTAGCAAACCTACTTCAACCTCGGCCGGCCAGTTTTACTTAAAAGACTCTCTACTTCCTGTGTACAATCCGTTCTTCTACCATTACTCAAGAAGCGATCTTTCTCAAGCTGAGCAGTACCAGCAAAAGACGCGGTCCAAATCAGACCGGTTAGTGTGTAGTGTAGTGTTAATTTGAATATCTCTAGCTCTGGACGAAGGGAATCTTTACTTTACCTCTGTTTGCCTTTAGAAAGCTGCAAGCTTGTCCACCGCCGATGCCTTGCGACTTTGAGCCCTTTTTTGCACCTGCTGCAAATATTCTGAAGACCCCGTGCCTTATCAAGATTTTGAAACTTGTACTTGACAGGACCGGCAAACGAAGTCGATTTTCGAGTGATCGCTTGCTGCACAGGGTCCGTCATTCGTCTACTGTCTGTGCGCTTGCTGTAAATGATCCTATCTAGGCGCTTTATCTGATTGGAATGGCTCTCCATGAACAAACTCGTGATCCCCATGGTTTTTCCTTCACCATAGCGGCTGAAAAGGAAGAGCTACTGCGGTCGCTAGAGTCACTTTCTGGAT